GCAGCCCCCCATCCCCTCCCATGTTGTCTTCCCCCAAATCCACAGCTCCAGTGGTTTTTTGCAGCCACATCCCCCAGCCCGAGTTTCATGGGAGCCACAGTCCACCCGCTCCAGATGTTGTATCAGTCCAATCCACCACCCGATGTTTTCATGCAGTCCACTTTGAGGGGCCCCAGATGTTGTATGCACCACTAGTCCACCACTCCAGATTTTCACAGCCCCCTTCCAACCAGCTCCAAGGGGCAGCAGCCCCCTAGTCCACCACCCAATGTTGTCATGCAGTCCACTAGTCACCACTCCAATTGTCGGGAGCCCCCTGTCCACCCTCCGGGTTTTCATGCTCCACTAGTCCACCAGCCCCCGAAAGTTGTCAGCGTCCATTTCCACCACCCAATTTGTCATGCAAACCCACAATCCACCGCCCCCCCTTTTTCTGCAGTCCACTAGTCCACCAGCTCCAGATGTTGTCTGCACCCCTAGTCCCCACTCCATGTTTTTCATGCAGTCCCCTAGCCACCACCCCAGATTTTCAGCACCCACTACCACCAGCCCAGATTTTCATGCATCCCCTATCCCCACTCAATGTTTTCATGCAGTCCTAAAACCACCCCAGATGTTCCCTGCGCCCCCTATCCACCCCCCCAAATTTTTCAGCTCCACTATCCACCACTCCAATTTGTCATCAGCCCCTAGTCCAAAGCTCCAATGGTTTTTATCAGTCCACTAGTCCCCCTCCCCCCTGTTGTCTCAGCCCACTAGCCACCACCCAATTTTCATGCACCACTATCCCCCACACCCGATTTTTCATGACCACTATCCACCACCCCAGTGTTTATGCAGTCCACTATCCCCCACCCCAATTTGTCATATCCACTTTCCCCATTCCAGATGTTGTCAGCACCCACAGTCCCCACCCCGATGTTGTCATGAGTCCACTATTTCCCCCACCCCGATTTGGGCATGCAGCCCCCTGTCCCCAGCCATGTTTCATGCATCCACTAGTCCCCCAGCCCCAAAGTTGCATGCCCCCACTTCCACCGCCCCAATTTGTCATCATCCACTTTCCCCCAGCTCCAAGTTGTCAGCAGCCCCCCTGTCCACCCGCCCCAGATTTGCATGCAGCCATTCCCCCGCCCAATGTTGTCACCCCACTGTCCACCGCCCAAGTTTTCATGCGTCCACTAGTCCACCACCCGATTTGTCATGCAGTCCACACCACCGCTCCAGATGTTTTCAGCAGCCACTAGTCCACCAGCCCCATGTTGTCATGCAGCCCCCTATCCAAGCCCAGATGTTTCATGCAGCCACTTTTCACCAGCCCAGGTTGTCATGCGTCCATAGTCCACCCGCTCCCCAAAGTTTCTGCAGCCACTGCCCACCAGCTCCAGTGTTGTCATCAGCCCCCTGTCCCCCCAGTCCATGTTTGCATGCGTCCATAGCCACCACCCAATGTTTCAGCAGTCCACAGCCACCGTTTAAGTGTTTGTCATGCACCACTGTCCACCATTTTCCCGGTTTTTTCATGCATCATTCCACCGCTCCAGATTTTTTCATGCTCCACTATCCCCCCATTTCCAAGTTGTCATGCAGTCCACAGCCCCGCCAAGTTGTCAGCATCCACTGTCCACCAGTTTTCCGATGTTTATCAGCCCCCTATCCACCCGTTCCAAGTTGTCATCGTCCACTTCCACCAGCTCCAGATGTTGTCAGCAGTCCACTAGTCCCCCAGCCCCGATGTTGTTGCAGTCCACTAGTCCCCCCAGCTCCAATTTGCAGCTCCACTAGCCACCCGTTTTTAGATGTTGTCTGCAGTCCATATCACCACTCCCCGATGGTCACGTCCACTAGTCCACCATTCAGATGTTGTCATGCAGTCCACTATCCACCAGCTCCGATGTTGTCATGCATCCCCTAGTCCACCAAACTCCAGAAAAGTTGTCATGCATCACTAGTCCACCACCCCAGATGTTGTCATGCATCCCCTAGTCACCACTCCAGATGTTTTCATGCAGTCCACTATCCACCACCCAGATTTTTCATGGCAGTCCATAGTCCCCCCTCCAGAGTTTCATGCAGTCCACTAGTCCCCACCCCAATGTTTTCAGCGTCCACTACCACCAGTTCCAGATGTTGTATGCGTCCACTAGCCCCAGTTCCAGTGTTGTCAGCAGCCACTGTCCACCACTCCAGATTCAGCAGCCCCTGTCCCCCCACCCAAAATTGTCTGCAGTCCATAGTCCCCACCCCAGGTTGTCATGCAGTCCCATTTTCCCCCAGCTCCAGTTTGTCAAGCTCCACTAGTCCCCCACCCCGATGTTGTCATCAGTCCCCCATCCCCAGCCCAGATGTTGTCATGCAGTCCCCCCAGTCTTATATTACTCCCTCATCCAGTCTTATATTACTCCCTCATACTGCCTTATACTACCCCCAAATACTGCCTTATACTACTCCCTCATACTGCCTCATACTACTCCCTCATCCAGTCTTATATTACTCCCTCATACTGCCTTATACTACTCCCTTATACTGCCTCATACTACTCCCTCATCCAGTCTTATATTACTCCCTCATACTGCCTTATACTACTCCCTCATACTGCCTTATACTACTCCCTCATACTGCCTCATACTACTCCCTCATACTGCCTTATACTACTCCCTTATACTCTCCACTTTTAATATGGTCTCCGGCATCGCCTTTGATTCTAACATTTTATTGTCGACTTTTGGACCGCTGAAAAAATAACAAGAAAGTTGGAACAAGAAAATGTTGCGCATGAAGTCGCGAATGTGTTGGTAATCTTATCTGTGAGTGCCCTCCTTACGACCTTATGAACAGTGTAAAGATGTCTTCCACAGGATGGTGTTGAACGCGGGTGTCGTCTCAAACCTCTAATTTATGGCTTCGTTTATGACATTTTCTGAAACAACTTATATTTTCCGGCCTGAGGATGTAACCACCGGATTATATATGCCAGGATGACGAGGGTAGTTGGAGGACGAGGGTAGGTGGTGGACGAGGGTAGGTGGAGGACGAGGGTAGGTGGAGGACGAGGGTAGGTGGAGGACGAGGGTAGGTGGTGGACGAGGGTAGGTGGAGGACGAGGGTAGGTGGTGGACGAGGGTAGGTGGAGGACGAGGGTAGGTGGAGGACGAGGGTAGGTGGAGGACGAGGGTAGGTGGTGGACGAGGGTAGGTGGAGGACGAGGGTAGGTGGAGGACGAGGGTAGGCGGAGGACGAGGGTATGTGGTGGACGAGGTTAGGTGGTGGACGAGGGTAGGTGGAGGACGAGGGTAGGTGGTGGACGAGGGTAGGCGGAGGACGAGGGTAGGCGGAGGACGAGGGTAGGTGGAGGACGAGGGTAGGTGGAGGACGAGGGTAGGTGGTGGACGAGGGTAGGTGGAGGACGAGGGTAGGTGGAGGACGAGGGTAGGTGGAGGACGAGGGTATGTGGTGGACGAGGGTAGGTGGTGGACGGGGTAGGTGGAGGACGAGGGTAGGCAGAGGACGAGGGTAGGTGGAGGACGAGGGTAGGTGGTGGACGAGGGTAGGTGGAGGACGAGGGTAGGTGGGAGGACGAAGGTAGGCGGAGGACGAGGGTATGTGGTGGACGAGGGTAGGTGGTGGACGAGGGTAGGTGGAGGACGAGGGTAGGTGGAGGACGAGGGTAGGTGGAGGACGAGGGTAGGCGGAGGACGAGGGTATGTGGTGGACGAGGGTAGGTGGTGGACGAGGGTAGGTGGTGGACGAGGGTAGGTGGAGGACGAGGGTAGGTGGAGGACGAGGGTAGGCAGAGGACGAGGGTAGTGGTGGACGAGGGTAGGTGGTGGACGAGGGTAGGTGGAGAGAGGGTAC